CTACTTGCTAAAAGCGCAACGGTTTTACGACCATAACTAGCTTCGCCTTCGTGAACTGAATCCATCCCTACCTTTCCGTATCTTGGTCGCTAAATATCTCTTCGCTAAATCATCTTGTGCTTCTTTTTCCTACACTCATATCTCTATCCCTCTACCTCTATCTCTCCTCCACATACTCATATAATGCTCCAGTACATCGAAGTTCTCAGTTACGACCCTTTCGGCGGTTCCTTTGCTTTTTCTGCACTAATATCCCACTTTCACCATGACCTAAGGACTCTCGGCCCTACAAACTTCTAGTGGCCATCGCAGGCGTTGTCTTCAACACAATGAAAGCAGTACCGTTCTCGATGGCTCTCATGACCGAGCGTTTGCCTGTCCGGGCGCGTGTATAGCTGGCTATGCACAGACATGCGAACCGGGAGGGAGTAAATGCGTGCATAGCAGGCAGTGCAGGCGGCTTTCAATGTTTTGAAGTGCCGGAGAATAAATGCTGACGATAGAGGTGATCAGAGCTTGAGTAGCACTCGACTGTAAGAAGGTTTTCACGTAGTTCCTCTTTGCCCTTAGTTATCTCGTTTTCCTTGTTTTCAAGCCTATTCCACTCTACAGAGACTGCTCTGTTTTCCTTTGGAGATCTCGAACGTACGAAAAACTTCAGTTGTTATTCCGTTACCTCAACAGAAACCTTCACATGTCCTCCACCCGGCAGCTCGAGTTTGTTGTAGTCGTGCAGGATATGCTCTGAATTCAATAGTGAACAGTATGATTTAAAGCCAAGAAACAAAGGAATTGCTAACCGATGATGACATCATCTCCAGTGCACAGTCCGCTTCCAAAGGGCGCTATCGTGAGGTTTCGAGGAGGCGCTTCAGAGCAAACACCGTAAGCACTGGAATTTTATGCCTTTCTCGTATGTAATAATTCCATGTCTAATGCGGTTTTGAATAATTTTTGAAGTGGATATTGTCATCTTCATGCAATGGCTGTATCAATATATGACTAATTTTTCTGACTCTTTTTCTTCCATTCTTTTTACACACTGACAATAATATAAGCTATTGGTTGCTCATGATCCTTTTCACTACACTTTGGTTGTTGCTGTCTGTTCTCGGAACTCTGTTTCTTGCTCTTTTACCTTGAGTGGCGAGTGAACTTCAGCAGTGTTTACTCGCTGAAGTTTTGCATATATGGGTTATTCAGGACCCTGAGACCGGAAATGAACTTCCTTTCTGGCGCCAGTGCCTCTGGATGTCAACAGTCGCCACGTTGCCGCTAAAGCTCCCTCAACAAAATCTGTGCGAACTTGTATGTCGGATTTCTTGGGCGTCTGGTTAGAAATACAGTGTTCGTTCAAGTGCCATTTCACGCCCGAAGTAGCCAATTTAGCGTCACAGTTTGTGACGACCCTGCCAAGTTGCAGAAATGGGCTAAACTCGCGCGAAATAGGCGGGGTCTCCCACTGTGGACGGAGCTTTTTGTGCAGCCTAAAAAGGTGAACTTGACAAAACGTCCAATTTTCTGCAAAGTACCGTAAGCAGGCCTTAAAAAGATGTGGCTAACGGGTGAAGTTAAGCATATCAGTAAACAAAGACATAAATTCGGCTTTGTGAAGGTGGATGCCCCAAAACGATTAGCGTTGAAAAAAGTTATGAATGCGTTCGAAATTCCGCAAGTGAACCCTCATAAAAAGTAGATGGGTCCGTCTTTTGCAGATGTAGATACCATTCGTCTATTCAGCGCAGAACGGGCTTAACTAGCCAATAGTGCCAGAAAAAAGATGTTACAGAATAAATTCCAAAAAAACAGTGATCACGCTGAAGTGGGCGGGGCTTGAGGTACTGTCTAATAAAGGTAAAGCCGATAAAGTGATAAGATAAGAGTGGAAGCTGCATCAGTCACTCGCTGAAGACTTTTACAAAACAAAAAACTCGTCAACGAGGGACATTATGAGCTATTGGTGGCCTGAAGCAGATGCAGACGAAACCCCTTTGTCCTAATCGGAGCTTTCTCGAAAAACGCCATTAT